CACGACACCAAGCCAATTGACGGCTCCTTGGGAAAAATTGCATCACTGGTGACACCATCAGCAAAGATATGCCAGCATTACCACAATTCGCTGCACCAAACGATAGTTACATGGTCCAGGCAAGTTCTGCAAGCAGTTCAAAGCAGAGGAATCTATCAATATGTCCATTTCCTCCCAAAATCCGTTTCCTCCCAAAGTAAGTTGACTCTTTGAGCATTACTTGTTGAGTTCTTCACCGGCACTGGGATGGAGATAGGAATTCTGGCAATGATGCTAAAGAGACATTATCCTGAAAAGAATTATTAAATATAATGAAAAGGAAAGGTGAAAGTAAACAAACAGATCTGTTAACCTACTTTACAAACAATCCTTAACAGCCTTTTACCTAATTTAAACTGGTAAACAAACAGATCTGTTAACCACCTTTAAAAACAATCCTTAACAGCTGTTTACCTAATTTAAATTAAACCATTTAAATCACGTGAATAAAAAAAAAAATAATAATTTGGATCCATTTTTTCATGAGCGCTCCTCATATAAGAAATATGGACATACGCACATACAGACATACAACACAAAACACAAGAGTGTACACAAACGTACAACACATAAGAAAATAGTAAAGGCCTTGTAGCTTTACCTAGGTGAAATCTCCATGGCAATGTTTAAAAACTCCACAGTTAAAAAATAAAACTGATCAGAAAAACATTAACCTAGGTTTGTATGAGCTCAAAAAATAAAAATAGAACCTTATGATGTGGAAAAATGCAATAATAAAATAGCTATTGAAAAAAGCATCCTGGTTAATCACTGTCGCAGATGTAAGAATGGCCAAGCTGGAGTTCTGGATATCAGTTGTTATGGATTTGAGTCAAATCATCTTCTTTTCGATCTGTAGAAACTGTTTTAGTTAATCTCTCTGGAATCCAAATGGGCTGCTGTTCTCCCTGTGGAAAAACACAAACAGACCCCCGACTCCAGACAATCACTGGGTCAGGACCTTTCCATTGTCCTGTTAGAATACCTTTCCAAAGTACCTTAGGCTTATGTACATTTTTTGGATACATATGCCTTTCCGCAGCACTAAGTCCTGATGAATCCAAATTTAAAAAGTTTAGAGTAAAAAGGGTTATTTTAAGTTTATCTATGGGGGATATATACCCCTTTCCAATTCCCTCTTTTTGCTTTAATAAGTATGTCTGTATCTAATAGTTGTCTTAGCTTTTTGCATTTTCTATCTGAAATACCTTACTTGACATTTTCAACCATTTTTTATCTTATTTCTATCTTTTAATTTTTCCCCCCCAAGGTTTGTACATTCACCCTTAGTTGCTTTTTTTTTCCTCTTTTTTTTTTTCCTATTTTGTGGGTTTAAAATTCTTGTCTTCCTACATTTTTTATCTTTCTACATCTTGTTTATCTTTTTTCCTTTTTAACTTTCTATACTTCTGTCTTTAAAGTTTTTCACTTCAAATTTTTAATCTTCTTTATCTAAGTATCTTTTATCCTATTATCTTCCCATTTTTTTTAAGTAATGCCTTTAAGATTAACTAGGCTTCGAATGATGCAATAAAGCAATCTTTTTTCCGCCATGAAGGTATCTCAACCACCTTCAATTTAACCTTTTAAAGCCTTTTAATTATCATCTATACTGTACTTTTAAATGTACTTTTTCACCACCTACAACTTCACTCTTTTAAACGAGGCTTAGATTCTGTTTAAATCGCTTTAATGTTAGTTTACATGGCTGCCCTTCAACCAAAGGCCTTTTTTTTAACTCCATTGAGAAGCTTTGTCTCAATCTGCCATGTACAAATACCTTTTCTTCTTTCTTCCTTTCTCAAGCTTTTAAAGTCTAGTTTCCTCAAAATCTTTTTAAATGGCATTTTACAACTTTTTACTTTACCACACAGAGATTATATCATCTAGAAACATTTCTTTTTCCTTTAACCTTTTATATTAAAATATATTTCCATATCTTGAATCTTTTTCTATCTCTTTTTTAACCGTTAACCCTTTTTATAAATTCACATTTTGAAACAACTCTTATAAAATTTCTGATTTAGACAAATTACTCCACTTTAATAAGATGAAAGACTTTCATGTTTCTTATGACACTATAATACTATAATTGAAACCCAACTGAAAATTTTTCTACTCTTTGTATATAAATTACACATGATAGAATCTTAACACTTAGTAACCTTGTTTTAGCAAAGACACAGACACAAAGCAATATTAAACATTTTTCCATTTACCAATTTATGAAAACACACATAATGTTTAAATATATTACCTTATGGAACTTAATAAGAGTACTTGATTTCATATTTAGTGGTTGATATTTTAACACTTTAGCTTTGTAAATTAATCAGATGTCTGTAAAAACCAAGATCTTAGACAAGTGTAGTAAACAGGACTAGCCATCTCTTTCTTGTTGAAGAAAAATCCTTCTACAGGATTCCATGATGGTCTCATTAATATACTTAATAACTCATCTTTAAAAAGCCATGGGCTACATTTTTGTATTGTATCAACATATGTCCTAACTGTTCTTGGTCTTACTGGGGTGCCTCTTTCCTCTAACAATTTTTCTTCCTCGGAGGCGAACAACTTCAAACCTTGAGTCAACCATTTCCCCCAGTTTGCCTGAGAAAGTTCTAGGAACAGGCAACTTGAAATAAAAACAAAATAAATCAAAACGATAACACATTGTTTTTTGAAATGTTCACCCATTCTTTCTCTCTTCCTCAAGGGTGAGAAATTTCACTTACCTCTAAGCTTCAGAAGTCCCCCGTACGGGCCACCAAATGCCGCAGTCTGGCTGGGCACACAATCACGAGCCACCACACAGCTTGTAGATTCAAACAGCAACTCTTTATTCCCGAACTCACCAGCCGTCTACAATCACGTTCTCTTCCCAAATCCACCTTCTCTCCCAAATTCACCTCCACTGGGCTTCTATCTCCCAAAATATACTGTCTGAATCCCGTGAGAACTCAAGGGGAACTCAGGCAGCAGGATACGCCCTATTCCCAGCAGGAATAATCTTAAACCTTAAACCTGGAACCTAAACTGGGAACGCCCTAAACAAGATTATCTTAAAACCGGGAACACCCTAATCTGCCTTGGTCCTTGAGCAAGGTCACTTACATTCAATGTCACTGCAACATGTCAGCAACATGGGGTACGCTGGCAAGGAAATTGTCATACCTACTTGGCTAATGGCTCCCAGCAAGTGAGCAATTGATTCTGATTCAGAAAAGGGTAGTTAGGAATCAAAAAAATTAAATTGAGTTAAATGAAAATAAAGTTAACATTTGGCATGATGGCATTTATGACTGTGAATGTCTGTACCCCCTACATAATAAGGGGTTTGAACTTCTTCCTGAGGACAATTAGATGCTGTTGAAGATACTAAGCTGAAAGGTGGCATGATCAGATTTTTATTTTAGTAAAAAAATCACTTAGGGAGAAAATTAATTGGATTGGAGTGGGAGGAAAAGCAGCAGGGCGTAGATAAGGAGACCAGCTAAGAGAATATTGTTGAAATTCAGGCAAGAATTAAGTTCCCTAAATGATGCAGTCAAGTAGGTGAATCTGAGAGGTATTAAGTAGGAAGAATTTATTGAACCTAAAACTAGGTATACATGAGGTGATGCTAGAGAAAATGGAAGAAATTTATTTTCTTTCTTTCTTCCCTTCTTTCTTTATACCCTATCTATTGTGTGTCAGGAAACATGTTAGGTTCAGGGAATACAGAAATGAGCAAACAGGACTGGTCCAGGCTATCAGTGAATATATAGTCTAAAAAGAAAACTATTGGTCTAACAATCACATGAGCATATATGCAATTATAATTCTCTTAGGTAGACTTTAAGGATTCATTATGTGATAAAAGTTTGAACCCACATAGAAAGTTGAATGACTGTTGCCTGAAAGAGAGAGACACTGAGCTTAAAGTTGAAGGTGGGAGAAGGTTTAATTTACTTATTTGGAAGGAAACATAAGCCTGACATTTCAAATGTTTTTGATCATGTTCATCCTAAAGACATTCATTTTACCTAATGAGTTGATACCCATACCATATGCACGCAACACACACACACACACACACACACACAGACTCCCACACTTATATAAGGAAAGAGAGAGAGAAAGAGAGCAAAGCTTGGAATAACAAATTTACTTACGTGTACCTGTCATGCTACGTTTGTTTTATTATTTTAATGTTGCAGATAGAACATTAAATTGATTTCAGGATCCACTTAGGAATTTTGATCTACAGTTTGCAGAAAATTGGCTTCCTTGCTGACAATATTTGTTAAATGCATAACATACTAACTATAGTATGTTTATAACTGTCACAACCACTCCATCAGGCATAAACATTAGTCCCCTTTTCAAAATGAGTCAACTAAGGTCACTGGGCTAATGCTACACAGTAAAGAAATGGCAGGATTTGTTTCATGAATAAAGCAGAGCCTACATGTTTAATTGTTTTTCTGCTTTCCTGACTGTCCAGATGTACCAAAATGCACCTTAATAAAGACAATAAACCTGGAAATAAATAGAAAGAATGTGGTTCCTTTCATATATGCATCATCTTTCCATATGTCTATAAGCAGACTACACACAGCATAGCAAATAAGACCAATATGAAATTCCACTGACTATATCAATACTAGTGAAACATTTTCAAATTTAAAAAAAGAAGAAACTAAAGTAATTTACTTTGCAAAAGTTGCTGTACAAATTCTTAGTTTATAATATGCTATCATTATATAAAATGGTGAGAAAAATAGCTTCCTGTTCATTGAGAATTGCAACATCATATATATCACAACTCAATATAAAAGAACTCATGCACACACACACACACACACACACAGAGATCATAAAATGATTTGTATTCTCATCCTTTTTGATGAATAAGGGTATTTTCCATCATTTTCTAATTTTTCAAAATGCTGGCCAGAACCCATTAAGTTGATACTAACCTGCTTACATTTGTCTTCTAAAGCAAGAATCCGCCACCTTTTCTGTCATGTCCTTGGGACTTGGCTATGTCTTCAGAAATTCTCTATTAAAAATTCAATTATCTTCTGTGAGTAGTGACACTTTAATCCATTATCAGTTTTTGACAACTTAATGGGAACTAGATTATCAGATTCTACTCAATGAAACAAACATTTATTTAAAATCAGTTCTAAGATTCTGTGCAAGGGTCAAATAACTAATTATTTAGGGAAGCTGATTTCAAGAACAGTGGAGGAATAGTACCCGGCTAGATAACTTGATGGTTCTGCCCAGCTCTCTTAAGACTAGCTGGTGGAGCATCTCACTAGGATGAGATCCTGGGTATTCTGAGGACTGTGGGATCCTAGAGAATTTAAAGGAAGGACAGTGGTTAATAAATAGGAAAAATCAGTATCAGAAGCAATAGCACTCCAGAAGCAGTGAGCTCACACAACTGCTGAACTGGTTTCTAAAACCATTTTCAATAAAGGAATCAGTGCTTCTTGGGGAAATGAATGGTTCTGCAGCTGAGCAAGATGGATCCAGAATACTTTGTGGTTTTAGACAGTAAAGAGGTACAAAAAAAAAAAAAAAAAAGCAACAACAACAACAACAAAAACTAACCAAACAGAAAACTCAAACAAAATCATCCACAATGCTAGCAGTATGTAAAAGGCAGACAAGAGTCAAAAAAAAAAAAAAAAGTTCCAATGGTCAAACAATTTAAGTAATGAAATAAACAATATACATTAGAGTATAACCCAATGTATAAAATAAATACCACTAAATCTATATGGATATAAATACTCAAATAAATAAATGTATGGTGGTGAGGAGAGAGTAGACAAAATCTAAGTGCAGAAGAATTCCAAATAATGTACATAGATACTATGCACTGAATGACATGGAACATATATCCCCACCCTTTAAATAACTTCCTTTCAAGAAGCACGGTTTGGAAAAGGGAGAGAAAAGAGTAACTTTACAATAGAGAAATTTGACAAACAGCATTTCCATCAGAGGGGAAAGTAAGCCTTAATCATGGCATGAGTCCTTGATGGGATGTGATAGTGAGAACAGAGCTTTACATGTATGGTCTTCCTCCCCCAAACCCGTAATCTCAGTCTAATTAAGAGAAAAAAAATATTTTAAAGATTAATAATATTCTACAAAATATCTAGCCTGTATAAACTGCCAAGGTTATTAAAAACAAGACAGAGGAGTTGTCACAACCAAGAGGAAATGAAGGAAACACAATGACTAGATGATGGCCTAGAACAGAAAAAGGACATCAGGTAAGAACTAAGGAAATAACAATGAAGACTTCAGTTCACAATAAAACATTAATATCTGTTCATAAGTTGCAGCAAGTAAATGATATACAAGATGTCAAAATAAGAAAAACAGTGTTAGATATAAGGAAACTTTCTGAACTATCTGCACAATTTTTTTCTGTAAATCTAAAACTACTTTAAAATTTAAAAATATACTTTTTAAAAACCTGGTTTCACAAATGGTAAAAATCTGGTATTACAACCTCTAACAAAGCAAGTTCTCTTACCTTACATTTCGGCTTCCAGCTGGCTTGATCTATGTTCAAAAGTAGATTTCCTACTTCTACTTGAGAGCTAAGTTGCCAAATTAATTCAAGTTTAAAGAGCTGGCAGCAAAACCATTAGCAGTGGAGGTGAGTGACTGAAATGGCGCATTTTCAACATCATCAAAGCCCTCTGGCACACAACTCCTTATATAAAACAAATAAAGTGTTATGAGACAGTAAATTGAATATGATGTAATGCCAAATGATCAATTCAATGTGCCTTGTCAACAGAAAAATAGCAACTCCCTGCAGAAAATCATCCAAGTAATTGTTATGTAAGACACAGATACTGTTCTCCTCAGAGCAGCTGCTGATAGCTCAGGAGAAGGGGTGAGGGCAGGTGGTGAGAATGTCACTGCCTCTTTTTAACCACTGTTTCTTGCTCCCTGTAGTCACCCCCTGTTTGGTTATTGTCACTAGTTGGTCTCTGTGGAGAATGTTAAACAGATTTGTGAGGCTACTCAGCCCAGCCAAAGTTGAATAGCTTCCAGATTGTTAATATTCCACACCAACATTCCTACTGTGATAGATACGCTTCTTTCATTCAGTCCTTCTGCCCAACTTATTTTTACCCTTTTTAAGAAAACAAAACAAAACACTAAAAGCTAAGAGTTTTCCATTATGTCCATTAATATGTGAAGGCTTTATGTACATTAATTAAAGCCCTCCAAGTAGATCTATGACTTGGCTACTTGGTTACCAGTAAGAACATTGAGGTTTAGAAAGTCTAAAAAAAAACTTGCTGAAGATAAGAGATTAGCAAATAGCTGAGCTAAGATTTGAATACAGGAAATCTGATTATAGAGTTTGTGCATTTTCCAATGTGCCACCTAGCCTGCCCTGTATAACCTGCACATGGAAGATGGTCATTGCTTCCCCCACTAAACTGAAAGTTGTTTAAGGAAATGCATTACATTGTTTTTGGCTTTGTCTCTCCTACAGTCCCTAGAAACAACAAACACACTTCAGAATTGTTTGTTAAATAAAACATACATTGTGTGTGTGTGTGTGTGTGTGTGTGTCTGTAAGAGAGAGAGAGAGACAGAGACAGAGACAGAGAGACAGAGAGACTGATTTTAAACATTATACATTTAAAACTTAAAACTGTATTGGCTTTAAAAAGAGAATGGAGTCTCTTTAATGTTTCCATGCCTTTTCCTTGTTCTTTATTGTTCTTGACATAAAAGGGCAAATTTACCAAGACAACTTTGCTACTTGAGTTGTTTATAGAAGGAAATAGTCAAGGACAGGTACTCCTTTTAGTTGCAAAAAAAATCAGGTCTTGAAAAAAACATTTCCTGGAGAAAAGGTTTTCAGGAAGAATACTCTATACTGTATAATTTGCATAGCCAGCAGGGTAGTGTGATTATCTGGAGTAGAAAATCCTTTCTTAAAGTGGCCCAGTGCTTCTATGAGAGGCAAAACTTGATTAGTTGTGACACTGAGCACTGAGGAAAAATGCCCTGTCTACCTGGGACTGGTAAACATCCACATGTTCACATGCTCTGGGACTTGCTAATCGTTTGCAGTGTGTTTTAATAACTCTCTTAAGGAGGGAGATTACATGTCTTCGGAGACATAAAGATGCCAAAGGACCAATGAAGCAGATGTTTAGCATCTTCAAATAGGAGCAGAAACCTTGCTCCAAGACATTTCTATGGGTTGATGCATTTTGTAAGATCATGAACTGAGAGAAGCATTTCTGCAACTTTCAGGCATTCTTTAGCATTACGAAGAGGGATCTTTATTAAATGACTCAGGCAGTAGTTCCTGTGAGATAATAACTAAGAAGAAGTCAGACCTGGGGAATCAAACAAGTAGGAAAGAGGAAGAAGGAGAGAAGGAGAAAGAAGAAAGAGTATCCGTGAAAAAACACAAAAGAATGTAGTTCTGAGATCTATGTAGCAAATTACTAAAAACTGGAGGTTTTAAAACAAAATACATGTGTTAGTTCACAATTTTGGAAGTGGAAGTCTGAAGTCAACATACCAGCAGAAGAAGAGTCAACCTCCCTCTGAAATCTTTAAAAAAAAAATCCCTTCTGGTCATTGGTATAGTGCTTGATATAGTTTCTGGTGTTTAAAGTACTTTGAGTTCCTTGAGTTGTATTTCTCCAGTCTCTGCCTCCATTGTCACAGGGTGTCCTCTCTGTCTCCTCAAAGTATTTCCCTCGGCATGAATTTGGGTCCACATTTTCCTCTTCCAATAAGGACACATATATTGGTACAGTGTCCTACTCTGCTATAGTATAAGCTCATACAAATGAAGCCAGAATTAGACAGGCAGTCAGTATAGATAAGTAACTCGAGTCAGGTTGGATCAAAGAGGCCAATTTGAGTCCAGGAGTTGGAGACTGCCCCCTGAAGGACTGAAATGCCTTCAGAGCCCTTCCTCCACCCTTATCAAGATAACTTGCTAGCTTCACTTAGCATAATCTGCTCTAATGCCATCCATTTCCCTGTAAATTCTATGATTTTGTCATTTTTTAATGCAGAGTAATACTCCATTGTGTATAAATGCCACATTTTTTTTATCCATTCATCCATTGAAGGGCATCTAGGTTGGTTCCACAGTCTAGCTATTGTGAATTGTGCTGCTATGAACATCGATGTAGCAGTGTCCCTGTAGCATGCTCTTTTTAGGTCTTTAGGGAATAGACCGAGAAGGGGAATAGCTGGGTCAAATGGTGGCTCCATTCCCAGCTTTCCAAGAAATCTCCATACTGCTTTCCAAATTGGCTGCACCAATTTGCAGTCCCACCAGAACTATGTAATGTTTTGAACAGCCAACAATAAAAAATTAAAAAAAAAAAAGATAACTTGCTCCTGTTTCAAACTGTTGCTAAGGTAACCTGTCCCAGGAATTGTCCCTCCCTACAGGGAGTTATAAAAGTCCTTAATTAATGTGTCCTAGGCTGCTCCATTTGGTTCTTCCCCCATCCATCTGCTATTCAGATTTTGGCCATCTCCTGGGCCTAGTCAGGAAGGAAAGAGAAGAGGGGGAAGAGAGCAGGGAACAAAGAAAATCTAGGATGAACAAGATGACCCTAGTTGGTATCCTGGTATCCCTAGTAGTGATACCAGGATACCAACTAGGGTCCCCTTCTCCCTCCCTGGAAAAGTCTATGCTACCCCCTTTTAAATAAATCCTACTTGCCACAGTGTGCTTCTCTAATATTCTACTTCAACATGTGAAGAAACAGGACTCATCACTGATAAACAGTGGTATCACTAACTACTAACTGCCAGAATATGACAAGAATAATATGCCATATTATTTCCAAATAAGATTACATTTTGAGTCACAGGGGTAAGAATTTCAATACAGCAGTTTGAAAGACATAACTCAACCCATGACAGAAGGTTTGCCAATTAAAATCAATTTTAAATGTGGTCTGGAAAGATAAAATTTCTCATTGAAAACCATAAAATCTTCTGAATTTGTTTTTTAGTATATCTGAAACTTTTGGATATAATATGTACCTTCACTGACTTCAAGGAGAAAGCCAATCATCAACCCTGGAAAGTTCTATGGTTGGGGACAGTGTGGGTAAGTTGCAGCTGTATGAAGAAAGCTGGTAGGACTTGATATTTAATTTTGCTCATGCAAAATGCTAACCTTGGAATTTGAACTTCATAAATGCAAGATAAGGGTGAAGAAATGAATGGAGATCAGTGATATATGGAAGGTTTGTGAGCTATAAAGTCTGAGAACTCAGTACATGCTACATAATGGCAGGGAGTCTTGTCTTTTGTTGTTCGACATTTTACCCCCAGTTCCCGGAGAAGAACCTGGCACAAAGTCAACTCTTAATTTCTGTTCAAAGAATGAATGGATGAATTGATAAGAGCTGTGGCTGGGAGTCAAAGTATCAGTGGCTACTAAACTAGAGATTCTGGTTTCAAATTCTGTTTCCACCCCATAAAACTCATGATGTCAGTCATGTGTTGTCATTGTGAGACCTCCTGCTTTCATGTATAATAGCATAATTAGTAAGATTTTTTATGAATATTTAATATTGTGAGTTCGGGGCAGCTTACAGTCTAGGCACTGTAGGGGAATACACAGGGAAAATGATACAAAATCATGACTTCAAAAATTTTCCATACTTAATAGTCTAGATTACCAAAATAGAACATCTTAAATGATTAAAATGAAGATTACAACTCATAGCACTGATCATAAAAAAAATTTTCCCTAGATTTCAAAGAAATATGACATATATAGAAAAACATGGCTGCTCATTTCCCCATCTCAGATACATTCATTTCTTTTATAATATTGTAAACATCAAAATACCCTCCATGTTAATTCCTTGATATAGCTAAAAGTCATTCTTTTAGTATTGTTTTAAACTATTATTCCCAATAATTTCCCCTCCAACACTTGAGCCTTAACTTTTTATTGGCTGCTATTATCAGTACTATGTGATGCCATTTATTGAAGTCTCTTGGTAGCGAAAAGACAAATAATATTCAAGAAACTCCAAATATTGAGATTGGCAAGATATACACATTCAAGGAGCCAGAATATGACAAGAAGCAGCTTCAGAAAGAGCACAAGGCAAGGGGCTGCAGTGGGGCCTGTTTTTCCAAAGAATGAGAATCATCAGAAATCTGTCCCTGAAGAGTCTCCTTGGGAGGATATTCAAAATCAAAGACTATCAGGGGCCTCAGAAGCAACAGGCCTCTCATCTGTTAGTGTTCTGTATAATTGACTTTACTGCAAATACATTTACCCAATTTCTTTTCCCTTTGTCTTTTTTGTTTCCTCATGATATTTAACTATCACGGGCCTTGTTCACTCCCTAATCGGTGATCTTTTCTTCTTTATTGTATATTTTATCCTGAATATTTATCATTTCTGCCTACTCTTGACTATAGGCTGTGATAGCTCCTCAGCTTTCTAACAGAACCGATTGCTGTATTTTTTTTTTTATATTTGTAGCCTAAGTTCCTAAGAAGATTTTCCAGAAGATTCTGAGGCCATCACAAGCAATGTGAGTGGCTTTTCTAGTGAGGCCCAATGACACCTACAGAGGCAACTTTGTGCTCTGCAGCACCACGCTATGGAACGCACTGGGAGCCTCAGGGAAAGGCCTTTGGAGAGGACAAGAGTCAGATATGAGTGTAATACAAGGTCTTCTGCCACACCTGGTCAAGTCACTGAACTTCCTTAGGCCATTCTTTCCTTCTCTGCAAAATGAGGGGAAAACCACATATAATCCATGAAAAGAGGTAATGTAGGTGAAAATTATTAAAAAGTTTATTAAACTCCTGCATATTTATAAACTAATTCTACTATTATTCTTGAC